ACTTAGATTGAAATTTAGGTCTGATTTGATCTGGTTTGAATTGGTCTGGTCTTTGTGTATGTTACTATCTCATTCTAATCCGGTCTGATTTGGGACCGAAAACAGTCCAAATAAAAACATCCTCATAACATTTTGAATTCTTATGGGAGTTTTTTGCTCTAAGTGGGACTTAAATAATTCGTAAACTCAAGCATAGGACTACTCCTTAATATTTCTCTATTTAGGACTCTCTTAGTCCTATTATTATTTCGTGTGTTTGTAAAATGTCTATTATACCCCTGTTTAATAAATGTTTAATGATCATTTCCTCCGTCATTCGATTAACTACCTTCTCCGTTTCCGTTTTTTTCGTTTTCGTTTTAGGAAGGTTTTTCTCTCTTCTTCTTCGCGCACTAAAATCGATTAGTTCTCTTTTTTCTTCTTCTTCTTCACTGTTCGTCGTTGTTCATCGACCTTGATAGCGCACAATCCGACATTAGCTCAATTGTACCTCAAATTTCCAGGTACGTAATTCAACCGTTTATTTTTTAATATTTAATCTTCATTCAATCGTTAATTTGTAATTGTTCATGTATTACGCTTATTTTTTGTTATTTCTTTTTCGATGTAATCAACAGCTATTTTCGTGGCCTTTTTAAGTTGAATTTGATAATTTCTTCTGCGTTTTTGATTTGTGATTCTTTATTGTTCTGTTGTTTTGTCGTTGGCATTGTTTTCATGTGTGTTTATTTTCTGAATTGTAATGTCCACTGAATGAAGTTTTATGTTTGTTTATGTTTAGTTATTGCCATATTTTTATTGTATTTTTTATCGTTGTCATTTTTTAGATATTGATTGCCATGTTTTCTCTGTCTGTGGGTGCTTACTTTTTCTCCTTTTGTATATATGTATTTTCAGTTTGATGGATATTGTTGTATTTGTTATGCTGAAGTTGGATGGTAGCTGGTCTTCTGACTTTACGTTTAATCATACCGATACGTATGATATTCATGTCCGCTCTCTTGCAACATATGATCAGTGGCGGACCCAGAAAATCGGAGTCACGGGGTCCCTAACTTAATGTAAGTTTAACCAATAAAAAATTAAAAAAATGTAAGTATATAATATTAAAGTAGCATAGCATTTCATAGTTAATGTACATCATCAAAATATTAAGAATTTTTATCAATTCAGAACCTTATAGATAGATAAATTATAAATTCGGTACCCGAAAGATGAAATGTATTGATATAGGACCCGAAAGATGAAAATTATCAATCTAGGATCTAAGATTTCATAGATTTTGATTTATTTATTTATTTATTAATTCCTTTGCTAATTCTTGATAAACTTTTTTCCACAAAAGTTTATTAGTTTAACATAAAATAATAAAAATTCATGACAATATAGGTTCGAGATTGATAGTCTTCAATCATTCAAGTCCTAAATTGACAATTTTCATCATTTGAGTCTTATATCTATAAATTTCTTCGTTCAGGTCTCGGATTGATAATTCATTTACCTTTCAAGTTTTGAATTGATAAAATTCCAAATATTAAAGTAGTACAACGTTTCATAGTCCCTACTATGACGCAACTCGTCTTGAACATTAGGATGCAAATCAACAATTTTTTTCTCACACTAGGATAAGCTTCTAAAGATTCAAAATAAACATGTTGATCATGTGTATTGTCAGTCAAATTAATTTCATATTCACCAATTATTTTATTCAATTCTTCACTTAATAATGGAAAATCATAATAGAAATTTTAATAATTAATTGAATTATGTAAAGTGTAAAGTTGAGGATTTTTAAAAAAGGCAAAATGATGTAGTTGTGATCTTTTACAATAATAAATCAAAAAAGAGGAATAGGAGTGAGAGGGAATCGATCCTTGCACCTCCACGAAAAGTAAAGGTTTTTAAAGCCTTTCCTCCGTTGCTCTACTCCATTCTTTGGGATTTATACTTGTTTTTGTGTTATATATACATTTATAAGTAAATTTTAAATAAAATATATAAAATATATAGGTATTGTTTTGGAAGTACGCGGGGTCCCGGGATCCTGTGGGACCCTTAGTGGGTCCGCCCCTGCATATGATTCGTTTATTGCAATGTTTACGGAGATGCTTCTTTAGTATAGACCTCATCATAAATTCATACTGTCCTATTTTGGTTGAAGGTTCCCCTCATCCTGTTAAAATTAATGATGAGTCCAGTTTCAGATTTTACCTTGACCTTAAGTTGATAGAAGCTGATCCTTATAAGTTTCCTTTATGTGTTGAGTTTTATTCCACAAATACTCTTACCATTCATTCTGAGGAGCAACATAATCCATGCAATCAGTCATATATTTCTTTTGGTCAATCTTCTTCCAACATTATTTGTCAAGGAACTACTAGTGGTAAACACTATGACTTTGAATTTGGTGATGGCGTTCCTTCTGAATCTTTGTTATCACACTGTGATTTAATAACTTCTGTGGTCAATAGAAGCAACTCACATTCAGAAGACAATGATACATTTTCAGATGAATCTCTCCCACCATCTCCTAAATCAGATTATAGTTTCCACAATTTGGAAGTTCTCACACATCAACATCCAACTTGCATTGCTCTACATGCTATATACAACAATAAGCATGATCTGATATATCATTTGAAGATGTTTGTCATCCGTAACAGCTTTCAATACAGAACCAAGACTTCAAAAAACATGTTTTGCATGTTATTTGTTTAGATCTGGATTGTGATTGGGCTCTTCATGCTGTCAAATTGAATGGTGTTCAGATGTTTCAGATCCGCAGGTTACTTAACATTTACGTTCTTGTTTTTGAATGCCATATCTACCTCTTAGCTTTTATGAACTGTATATTTTTTACTCTCCAGGTATGATCAAGAACATGTTTGCTCTCTTGATTATAGACAGGGCAAACATAGGCAAGCAACATATGATGTCATTGCAAATATGGTAGCACATAAATTTTTGGATGCTTCTATCAATCCGTACACACCTAAACAACTCATGGCTGAGATGAGCATGGATTATGGTATTTCAATGTCATATAAGAAGTCATGGAAAGCTCGGAAGAAAGCAATGGAAATGAAATTTGGTTCTGATTCTGAGTCTTACCAGATGCTGCCTTCAATTTCTTACATGCTAAATAAGACAAATCCAAGATCTGTTGTTACGCTTATTACAAGTGCAGATGATGCTTTTCAATATTTTTTCATGTCACTTGGTCCTTGGAGAGATGTGTGGCAGTATTTTAGGCCTGTGCTCATGATTTTAATGGGTCATTCATGAATTCATATTACAAAGGCACCTTGTTGACACCTTGTGCTCAGGATGCAAATAATCAAATCGTTCCTATAGCTTTTTGTATATATGAGTCTGAAAGTAAAGCAACATGGCGGTGGTTCTTATCGAAGGTTGGTTCGTGTATTCAATATCGTTCTGACATGTATATCATATCTGATAGGCATAAAGGGATTCTTAGTGCTGTTCGTAAAATATTCCCGCATGCTGGTCATGGCTTTTGTGTTGAACACTTACGCCGCAATATGACATCGAAATTCAGAGGTTCTGCAAAAGATTTGGGTTGGAAATTTAAAGCTGCATATTTGGCTTCAACTGTGAAATAGTATGAGTATTACATGTCACTGTTAGATACTCAAGATGCCAAAATACGTCCATGGTTAGAAATAGGAGAGAGAGAGTAATATATTAAATGAACAGTGGTCTGTTACAACTGTCAAAGGGCTGCTATTTATACTTTTGACCAAATATGTAACTTTTGATTTTACGCGCTGAATTATGTAATAATACGAAAAATAAGGTTGTAGTTACTTTTGAGGCTGTATTGACTGCAGTTGTTGTAGATGACCATTTTATCTATTTTTCATATCATTTCTTCTTTATTTTATTAATATAATATATTTTAAATATAATTTTTCATAATCAGCAGAAACAGTCAATACAACCACTTCAGTCAGAACTTTATAAATTTCAGCAGAATCAGCCGATTCAGACAATTTTAGTGTTACCAAACGGGCTCTAGTTGATAGTAGACATTTCTTTAAAATTGTTGTATACGTTATGTTATCTACGATATGTTATGCTATTTTTACTATTTTACTTCTTCTTTTTATTAATTTTTTATTAATTAGTTACATTACAGTAGGGACCCCGTGATTCTGAGTTTCTGGGTCCGCCACTGCTTGTGCTGCACTTCATTCGGGATTAATAGGACCAGCCTGGTTGGAGATGGAACATGAAGGTGTCCAGGGAGAACTTCCAGGACTGGATTTAAAAAATAATTCCCTTGCCCTTCGAGTTCTATATGTATGAGTGATAGTTTGAGTAGCCAGTGCCCAGTGGTGCATAGCCCTATGATATACTTCCTGATAATGATGGAAGTATTACATATCAATTAGAAATGCTTCTGGGCAGGGAATTATATGAACAAAGGATCTGCTAAAGAAGCTGCTATTAGTTAAGCCCCAAAATGGATGCATAAAAACCATGATTCCCTTCACTTCAAAGTAGACATGAAAGGATGGGGATGACTATGAATAACACTGATATACAACTAGAAAACCACTTCCAAACACATATTAACATTTTCATTTCAGACTGATTTCTGAACTCTATTTGCTTAAATTAGGGTTCTCAAATTCAACCAGAGAGTGCGGGCCGCCCAACACTTCTCAAGCTCATTTTGTTGATACATAAAAAGGGAAAGAGGGAGTTACCGGAGAAGGAGGCGGCGATGGTGATGGTGTTTCCTCTTTCTTAATCGGGTCCTCCTCCTCTTCATTGCCTTGAACACCACCGATCATGGACGGTTGTCCACGTCTCTGTCTGGTGCTTCTTGGCCTCCTTGTCGACAGTTTGGCTTTCTTCATCCTCTCTGAAAGTTCGATTTTTTCTCACACATGAGAAGAAATGGCTTACTCCTCTCTCTGCCCCATATTCAAAAATGGGCTAAATGTATGTCTGGTTTCAATAGATTTAATGTGATGACCTCGAACTGTGCTGAATCTTTAAATAGTATGAATGCTTGTGCAAGACAGTACTGTATTTCCAAAGTCATCAATTTTTTGCGTGAAAGAATGCAAGAATAGTTTAAAGTAAGGAAGGCAGTAGCTCAATCTACATGTACAAAGCTCTCTGAAAAAAATGAAAAGCTTCTGGTTTCCTTACAATTTGAATCAAGTCGTATGAAGGTATGTTTTAGTTGTATGAAACTTACTTGTTAATGCATTTTGTTCTTTATTAGTTTTTGGCATTTAAAATATCCTATTGCCAAAGTTTTATACTGCCTACTTTTACTTTTCTCTTTTTATATATCTTCTTATTTTCAGCTTTTCTAGTCCTATTTTTTCTTACTTGTGCTCTTACATTTGTTTTTAGGTGAATGCATCTTGTGAATATGAGTTTGAGGTTATTGATAGGAAATGTAGACGCTTTGTGGTCAACCTTAATTCAAGGATATGCACTTGTGGGCAGTTTCAATTAGATCATTTTGTGTGTGTTCATGCTGTGGCTGCAATATGTTCACGCCCTGGTCTATCTTGTTACAGTTACATATCCTCTTATTACACACGAGAACAATTGTTGGCAACTTGGAGTGGTATAATGCACCAATTGGAGATCCTGAAGATTGGGTCATTCCTTCTGATGTTTCAAGTACTATTTGCAAGCCTCCTACCTGTTTGAAGCAACCACCAGGGCGTCCAAAAAAGTCCAGAATCCCATCAATTGGAGAACATGTCGGTTCCAAACGTCGGAAGTGTTCTCGCTGCAAAGTTTTTGGGCACAATAAGAAGACTTGCCGTAATGCTCTTTGAGTTGATACAAATTGACTTCATTTACATAGTTTTTAGAGTCCTTTAGTTTTTATTATCGCCAGAATAAGAAGAGATGTTATTGGAATGTTAGTTTCTATAATCATAAGACTTGATGACCTTATTTTATTGTTTACAAACTCAGTTTTACTTTTCATTATATACTTAATAAGATTTGATTATTGATCGGCTGAAACTTGCAAGTGTACAAGTGCCAATGTAGTAATAAATTCCGGTAAAAATACCGGGTCGAACACAAGGAAACGTTGTTTATATGATTCAAAAGTGAAAGCGGTTTAGTGAAAGAATTAAGGAAAGAGTAAAGTTTTTTGATTTTTTTAAGAGATAATAAAAGCAACCAAGGGTTCGAGATTACTCCTAAACGACTCCTAGTGATGAATATATGTTCTTTCGCCAATTCTTATGAGTGGAATGTCACTAAAGTATTCTAACTCCTGTTACGGCAGCGAGATTGTGATTAATTCTACGTGTGAATCCCGTCACGGTTCACATTCATCTAAAATTAACCCCATTGAAGATTAGGACATTATAAAAACCACCATACTCAATTGAGGTATATTTCTATCCACAATTAGAATATGTCTAACCTTTAAGTGCACGGTTTATAACTCAACGTTAATTGCTCAAATAAACCCAACGATATAATCATACGTTGTACACCGTAGTCATACACATTAAAATATAAAGGAAAGATCATAATAATTTGGTTGAGAACATACATCAAACACCTAGAGTGCGTAAAGTTTCATCCCTAACCTTGGCTATAGAAAATTAGCTAGAACAATTCATAATAAAATTACAAGTAATGAAATGATAAAATACAATGAAATACATAAGAAAATGATACCACAACTCCAAAGCTATGGTGGATAAAGCTTTCCCCAAGTGTAGAACTTCTCTCAAGACCAAGGGGTTGCTCTTGGGATGCCAAAGTAGAAGTAAAGTGTGTAGAATATGGAATAATCTCTTGAGAGGGCTTCAATCCTCTTAAATATTGAGTTCTCAACGGCCATTTTCGGACAAGGAAGCAAGCTCCTTAATGGGATTTGGTGTTTTGCCCGAATGATTGTGATGACCGTTGCTTGTTTTAATCAGCTTCAGGCGAAAGGCAGGCGACTTTCGCAAAAGCCGGGCGGCTTTTGCGAGTTTAAAACGGTCTTCTCCGCTCCAGGGACCGAAAGCCGGGCGTCTTTCGCCAAAAGCCGGGCGGCTTTTGGTTCGGTTTGCTGAATATTTTCCACGGCGCCCAAAGCCGGGCGCCTTTCATGAAAGTCGGGCGGCTTTCGTCTGTTTTTGCTCCGGGTGCTTTTCCTTCATCTTCGGACCGCAACTGGATGGTTGGTTGGTGAAAACCGGCCGGTTTTGGTGAAAGCCGGGCGGCTTTCACCCCTTTGGTGTATTTTCCCCTTTTTCCTTTTGTTCTCGGGATGCGTTTGGTTGACCTTTACTTGTCGGGATTCTTCGTGTGTCTTTTCATCCTCGTATTTGATCCAATTGTCGGTTATAGTATTTCTTGCAAAACGAGACATATGTGTGAGAGTTTTATTCTTTTAAGTATAAAAGCGTTTATAAATTATTGTATAAATTACGTTAATAAAACGCTTATCAATTATATTAGTGGATGAATCATATAATGGTTTATTTGTTGACTTTGTACAATGGCTATATTCCTAATAAATGTTGACAACATGTGTAATGGTGTGATTTTAGTTGAATATAAATAATGGCAATTTGTAGTCTGTAGTGCCACTTTTTTGTTATTGTTTATGTACTTCGTATAATGAGTAAAGACTACAAACTTTTTTAAAATAGACTACAACCTTTCACTTGTGTCATTTCAATATGTTATTTTCTTTGTAACTTTTCTTTTTATCTTTTTTTTGGGTTTTTCTGATTTACTTTATTTTACACTAACTCCTTACTTTTAATACATTCCAATTAAACAAAATTATTGATGGAGTATATGGCCCGGGAACCCCCGGCCCACAGACTCCTACTACTCCAATAAAGGTCCAACAGGCCCAGAAGGCCCAACAGGCCCAAATCACGGCGCCCAGAGTACCAAGCAGCTCACAATGTGCACCAGTGGTGCCTTCGCCCCCCTGGCCGAAGGCTCTAACTCTCACAAGAGGGCCAAGACAGCAAAACAAAGTTACTGGGGAAAACGGTGAAAAACAGTAGCCCTCGGCACCTGGAGCCCTCGGCACCAAGGGGGTCCCCCGTACTCAGAGCCCTCGGTTAGTCCTCTACAGCCGAGGGCACCCTTCCCCGACATAATATCCGCGCCACATGCGTACAGATCACCGTACCCTGTATAAACGTCCCATCCAACAGCCGCATTAAATGCGGCCATATGCGGTTGCCAACGCCAACCAAATGAGGTGACCTCTCGGCCAATGGACGCTTGACACGTGCCCCTGTCCGGCATTTATTGCTACTATAAATAGCACCCCTTTTCCCCATTTGTAACCAGGTCATAACACGCTGAAAACGCTCCACTCTTTATAATATACTTTCTCTCTCTATACTTGCTTGCTCTGACTTCTCTCTTGTTATTCCTCGTAATAACCCCTCGGATAAGCTACCCCTCGGGTACACTATCCATCAATTATCTTTTAAAACACTGTTTTGTTAATACGTATGTTTATGTGTACCAGTTTGTATACTGGAATGATTCACCATCATCTTTGTCATTTAAGAATAATCCAAGTATAATGGCATTTCATTTTCATAGCATCCACTCCTGTGGCAATATTTCATAATGCAGAACAAAAATTACCAAACAAACTTAAAAACACAAACCAAAGTCATATCATATAAGCAGTATCCATGGCAAAACAAAAGCACACAATCCAAGTTCACACAAATTCAGATGTTTTTGGAATTTATCTTAAAGCAAAACAAACTTATTACATATTTAAACCATTTGTTCAAGACATGATTGTCATTAAAACTCCATTTATCATCAACACTTCACTTCAATCCTTGATAAATTTAGGTAGGTGCATTCCTTTTGCTTCTTCCAACCTCCTTTCACTGTATAAAACCAGCTCTATTGTCATTTTCCCCTATACATAGGCATTAGTTCTGGATCGATGCACTCAAAAGTAACTTCCATTATGAGAAATTCAGCAATCTTTAGGACATACATTCCACAATCAAACCTGTAATCAAATGAAAACATTCATTACATTAGCTTTACTTACACCTTTAATAATGTATATATACCTTTTCATTTAAAATTCACCATTAGCTTTGTTGACAACTTGTTATTTACTTACGCATTATCTTTCTGTGGGCAGTCCTCTTCAACTTCAATTTCTAGTGGCCTTTCTCCCATTGGCTCCTCCCCCTTAATTTCATACACTTTGAAGCAGTCCATTAATTTTGGAAGCAAAAACTTGATGCAAGGTATGAACTGTCTGATCTCTTTCAATGAATCCCCCCTTTTGGAACTGGAGTTGTAGACTCTCACCTTTCTCTTGTTGATGTCCAAAACTAGCAACACCCAATGTTGTCCAACATTTAATGGGATGTACACAAATTCAACATCTGTCCATCGCAGTGAACATTTTGATGTAGTTCCCAAGATATCATGGAAAATAATATCATTCTCAGCTGCACTCTGAACAGTTTCTTTGTTCTTTCCTATGTCCTCATGTAGCGTCCTCAGCATTGTAATGAAAAACGGCCCAGTTGTGCTATATTGTTGTTTGAGTTTGTAATGAACTCTTTTGACTGCCAAATAGTGCATTCCCACCTCCATATGCTGTATTTTATATATAAAAAATTGTATAAGCAATTTAGTTTTTTGATAATTATATCCTTGTATACACACATTAGTGGCAATAATAATTGATATTGTATTAATTTTGAAATGTAGATTTCATGTCACATACCGTGTCTTGCAGCCAGTGACCTTTGAAGTACAAATTGTATAGCCATGTCTTGGACTCAATTTTTATCGTGTCCAGCACCATTAGAATTCCATGCATCCTTTCCTCATCTATCTTTTACTTTCTGTTATCATCCACCTTTTTTTGTCTTTAGTAGACCAATACTTAGAAAGTCACCGATTCTTTTCATTTCCTTCTCAGGTGGCGCTTCAGTGGGGTCTTCAGAAAATGGACCATATACTGTTGCTGGTGGTGGTAAAAATATATCATGATTCCTTTTCATTGTTGTTTCTTTCTTTCTCCTCTTCACTTCAATAGTATTTTCTGATGGTGTGTACCTCGCTGGTGATCTTGGACATCTCTTCTCTCTCACCTGTTTACATTGAACATATTTTAATTCTATAATATTAAACCAACTTGATTTTAATGCATTATATTTATTTATTTCTTACCTTATTAGCTACAGGAATGCTTTGGTTAATTTTTTCTGAAGCCTTTCTCTGTAATGCCACTTTTTCGACTTCATCCAAATGTTTGCAGAGTTCGTTTTCAAACTGTGTGTCTTCTGGCATTATTTTTTCTGAATCTGTACTTTGTAATGCCACTTTCTCAACCTCTTCAACATTTTTACACACTTCCTTCATAAATTGACTATCTTCTTGAGAACCCATTCCCCACATATCTGCAGCTTTTTCCTTCTCTGTGTTCATTTCATTTTTCTCTCTTTCTTCTTTGCCCTCAATACTTCCTTCATTCTCCTTTGTTGTTCCTTCAACTTCTGGCTGAGTTTGAAATGAAAATATATCAAAGTTAGGCATATCATCTTCCTGGCCAATAACCTTCTCTTTCTCAACATGATCTTTTCCATTATTTCTGTCCACTGATGCATTTACTTGTTCAGTAGTGATCTTATCTCCTTCCCTATTCTCTTCCTCCTCGACAACCCCTTCTGGCTGCTCAACATCATTTGTCGCTACATTTGTGTTCTTTTCTTTCTGGTTTTTCTCTTCCATTCCTGCTCCACTTAAGTCATCATCCTTATCCTCATCTCCTTTCTTCATTTCATTATCCTCATCAGCATTTTCTTTCTTCTCCTCATTGTCGTCTTCTACAGTTTCTTCTTGTCCTGGTATTCCTCCTTCATTTCTATTCATTTGATGCCTTGTCAAATCTCTGACAAAGCGAAGAATTTTGATTAGTACTACCTCTTGCTTAACTTGTCTTCGCTTCATTTCTTTAACATCTGCCATTATTTTGGCAGTTCTTGTTGTTTGCTTGCTGATTTTCTTCATTATAATTTTTGCTTCTTTGGTACATAAACCAGCATTTATCAACCCTCCACTTTCATCCTCGCTTTCATCTCTTTCATAATCCATGTCATCATTGCTCTCTCTTGCTTTTCCACCCTTCCTCTTTCCTTTTGAAGTTCCTTCTCCAGCATTTACAGGCCTTCTCTTGGTTTGTTTCAACTACCTTCTTTTTGGCAATCTGTTGTGCTTGTTTGACCTTTGCTTTCATCTTTTGGCCTCTTTGCCTTGTACGTGAAGCAATACTTGTGTTTTGTTCACTTTCATCCTCCCTATCATCTGCTTCAAAATCACTATCATTATCACTTTCTTTTTGCTTTACAGCCTTTTTTTTGCTTTTGAACTGCCTTCGTCAGCATTTTCCTTAAATGTCCTTCCCTTCTTCACTGCTATTTGTTTTCCCTTCGCAATCTTAGTATTTTTTGTTCTTTTTTCTACATCTGAAGCTCCATTTCCTTCTTTTCTTTTCTCATTTTCTTCAACTTCCACTCTAGCACCATGAATATTGAATCCTTCAATCAAATAAAGCTCCTGGTCAACTGGAACAATACCTGTCCATTCAAACTGACACAACACACCATATCAATATAATATTATTTGTCATATTTAATCACAGAATATATAATATAATATATTATTATTATTATTATTATTATTATTATTATTATTATTTCATATACCTTGTCATTATAGAAGATTAGGTCACACAAAACTTCCAATCGAGGCTTCTTATGAAATTCCCACTTCAGTGTCCTTGGGATGATATTTTCTCTCCCTTCTATCACTTTACACAAACCTCCGTTTGACAGGCTTGGGAATGTTTCAAATGCCCATACTTGTAGTGCAATCATGCAACCTGGAAATGTCACTCTTTAACCTCTGCAGTTTTCTTGTGCTTCACAACTTTGTTTCATATCACTCATCAACTCATTCCACACAACATTGTTGGAAAAATGTGTTAAAAATTGCATTAAATGGTCATTTTGGGGCAATTATTTGAGTGGGGTCCACTTCCGATTTGGGTCGGGTCAAAGTGGATTCGGATTGTCCTTGTTAAGGGCTACAATTCGATATGTGGTACACTCAAAACGGATAACGGGTGAATGAGAAATTGATTCTCGAAGTTCACTCGTTGAAACGGAAAAACTGGGAAAAATGATGAGTTTCTAGTGTGTTTTATCCCACACCGAAAAACTCAAGGGATTTTCACCCCCTTATAAAGGGAAGCCTCTTTTAAGGAGTTAAGATTCCTAAAGGGAAAGGCTCTCTCTTACGCGCAGGGGGGGGGGGTGCCGATCAAATCCCGAAACGGAGAAGAAAAACCGCGACTTGTGTGCGCGGGCGACCTGCGGACACGAATGCCGTCCGGAGAAGAACCCGAACCCAGACGTAGCAAACGTGCTAGAGTCGAAAAATCCTTCGGACCGGATTTTCTCACCTACCTGGTAGAATTTGAATCGGATATTCTAACATGTATGGTAGAAAATGAACCGGATTTTCTAACATGTTTGGTAGAAAATGAGCCACGGACTTATACGGAAGCCGTGACGTCTACTGAAGGTCCTATGTGGAAAGAAGCCATCAAAAGTGAGGTGGACTCTATCCTAAAAAATCACACGTGGGAATTGGTTGATCTCCCTCCGGGATGTAAACCTTTGGGATCCAAGTGGATTTTTAAACGTAAAATGAAACCAGACGGTTCCATTGATAAGTATAAGGACAGACTTGTAATCAAGGGATACAAGCAACGCGAGGGCCATGATTACTTTGACACGTATTCTCCCGTGACGAGAATAAATTCCATTAGGATGATACTAGCGATTGCCGCTTTGCGGAATTTGGAAGTTCATCAAATGGACGTAAAAACCGCTTTTCTAAATGGCGATATAGACGAAGAAATCTATATGGAACAACCCGAGGGTTTCCGTGTTCCAAGCCAAGAAAAGAAGGTTTGTAATTTAATTAAATCATTGTATGGATTGAAACAAGCCCCTAAACAGTGGCACCAAAAGTTCGATCATGCAATGTTAATTAATGGGTTTAAAATAAACGAAAGTGACAAATGCGTCTATGTGAAAAGCACGGTAGACGGCTATGTCATTTTATGTTTATACGTGGATGATATACTCATCGTAGGTAGCAATAATCTAATGATTAATTATACCAAAAACATGTTAAATTCTAAATTTGACATGAAGGATATGGGGTTGGCCGATTTAATCCTTGGGATTAAAATAATTAGAGGACCTGACGGTCTAACGCTAAGCCAATCCCATTACGTTGATAAAATCCTTACTAAATTTAATAAGGATGATTATCAAGAGGCAAGGACGCCATTAGATAAAAACACTCATCTTACCAAAAATCGTGGAGAGTGTATTTCTCAAGTTGAATACGCTAGGATTATTGGAAGTTTGATGTATCTAATGAGTTGTACCAGGCCTGATATTGCCTTTGTGGTTAGTAAGCTAAGTAGATATACTAGCAACCCCGGTGATGAACACTGGAAGGCAATAATAAGGGTTTTGAGGTATTTACGTAAAACCCAAAATCTTGGACTGCACTATGGAAGATATCCAGTTGTACTTGAAGGGTATAGCGACGCTAGTTGGATATCCGACATAAAGGACTCTAAGTCCACAAGTGGATATGTTTTCACTTTGGGAGGTGCAGCCGTGTCGTGGAAATCCTCGAAACAAACGTTAATAGCTAGATCCACGATGGAATCTGAGCTAATAGCCTTGGATAAGTGCACTGAAGAGGCTGAATGGCTACGCCATTTTCTCGAGGATATTCCAAGTTGGGAGAAGCCTGTCCCTCCAATATGCATACATTGCGATTGTCAAGCGGCAATTGGAAGGGCACAGAGCAATCTCTACAATGGTAAGTCTAGACACGTTCGTCGTAGACATAACACCATTAAACAACTCCTCACAACGGGTGTTATCACTGTTGACTACGTGAAGTCAAAGGATAACATAGCGGATCCGCTAACCAAGGCATTGGATAGAGAATTGTTGGAGAAGTTGTCACGAGGAATGGGACTAAAGCCCGTGAATTGAAAAGTTCTATAGTGGATACCCAACCTAGTTGGTCCTAGGTTCAAAAGGGACAACTAAATTATAGAGCGAAGGATGGTCACTGTGGGGGTCCCGGACTCCTACCCACTCCTCGTTAAAACAGTGACTCCCGCACGAGGTTAGCAAAAACGTTTGCTTTAATGATTCTAAAATGTTGATCTACTCGATAACATTGGAAGAGTATGCGGGATACTCGTGAAAGAATCACCTATGTGAGAGAGAAGAGGGCCGCTTCAAAGGAGAACTGTAAAGGCTCAGTTCTTTAGAAACTCTTGCAGAACCAGGACGGTGACCCATGGCCAAAACGGGCACACCCATGAGAACGGAACAAAGTTGGAAGGTTCTTGTGTAAAGATAAGTCAATGTTTACACGACGGCAGTATAGTTCAAGGACATCGAGTCTACTAGACAGCCAGTAAATAAACGTGTCTTTACAACGGAAGGTTCAAAGGATAAAACCTACCTCTCCGTATGCAAGGATCATCCGGTGAACACAACGTGTCCTCCTATCTTCGTGTCTTTTAAGTCTCGAAAATCAATTTTCATTCATGTGGGGGATTGTTGGAAAAATGTGTTTAAAATTGCATTAAATGGTCATTTTGGGGCAATTATTTGAGTGGGGTCCACTTCCGATTTGGGTCGGGTCAAAGTGGATTCGGATTGTCCTTGTTAAGGGCTACAATTCGATATGTGGTACACTCAAAACGGATAACGGGTGAATGAGAAATTGATTCTCGAAGTTCACTCGTTGAAACGGAAAAACTGGGAAAAATGATGAGTTTCTAGTGTGTTTTATCCCACACCGAAAAACTCAAGGGATTTTCACCCCCTTATAAAGGGAAGCCTCTTTTAAGGAGTTAAGATTCCTAAAGGGAAAGGCTCTCTCTTACGCGCAGGGGGGGGGTGCCGATCAAATCCCGAAACGGAGAAGAAAAACCGCGACTTGTGTGCGCGGGCGACCT